AGTGATAGAAAGGGTTTTCCAATCAATGCTTTATCATTTCCAAATACTTTGAAAACACTCAGTTGTAATTTTATTGGTGTCAATTCCGAGTAAGTCAATGTAACACCTTGTTTGATACTGACTTCTAAAAAACTTATAGTGTCAAACTGTTTGATAAGTGTATGTGTGTTCCGTGTATTTTGACATTTTCCGTTTTAATAAAATTTGACATTAGAATTGAGTATAGACTTTCAAACTAATAAATAAGTATGTCAGAATTTGTCTCTGAAGTTTGAAGATCAGCTATATGTAAGGTATCAACGTGATTTCAATTTGTGGTGTTTTAAACACTACTAAGAACAGCTATTCTAGTGCAATGATTGATTTTTGCATCAAATACGACACATATTTAAATATCATTTCGCAGATAACCCGGAAATGTCACTTTAAAAATTTAACATATTGTTGAACTCAACTTTGAAAATATAATATCATAAGTGATGTGCCTTTTTACAATTGAGTGACTTGTCTTTGTTGAAGGAGCCATCACCGAAACATTTCACAACAACACCATTTGTGCGCCTCGAGCACTCCAAGTCATCAACATATAGAAAAGTGGGTCAGACGAGCAGTATTTACAAAAATACATTTACATGACTAATGTGTTTACCAACAAATACAACCACAATAAGGTATTTTATGTATCCCAAACCGAACGAACACAAAGAAGACACAGAAATGTTGTCACTAACACAATTTGCATTTTCATATACAACATACACGATAAAGTATTGTACTTCACAACACTTGAATACTAAATATATTATGTTGTGTTTTAATGGTTGTATATTGTTAGAAATACAACGATATATTATTCGAAGGCAACCATGTATAGGTCATGGCACCTTGTTGCGTCGTAGTCATACAAAATATTAACTATTCAATTTTAGAGTAAACCAACTTTTCATTTTTGAACATTACCATTTACATTAAAGCATTTCGTGTATTTTGTTTAATGACATTATAACTTGTTATAAAAAATTGTTAATTCAAAATAATATAACCAATATAAGACATTTTCTTCAATGAAATGTTAAAAAGAATGACGTACTAAGTATTATTTTTGAAAACTTATTGAAATATTATAAATTTATTATACTTTATTAACAATAAAAACAACACATCTATGTTGTAACATAATAACAAATAACAGTTTAATGTAATATTAATTACTATAAACATAAAAACAAACTTTCTAACACCATCGAAGACCACTCTTATCATATATGAAATAACATTTTTGGTAAACACAACGGAATGTCTGTTTGAGTTTTTGTGAATCGCTGTTTTTAGTAACAAAAAGAGAAAATGTCTGGTTAGCAACAGAGATAGCTGAAGCCTCTGCCATTGTTTTTGATTGGGTTTTGAAGCTGTAGGAAATAAACGCATTGGCTATTGAATCGATGATGTTGTCTGGGGTTTCAATCCCTTCTTTAACCAAATAAGGATTGCCTTCTTTGGTTTTTACATCGAAGGTAAAAAGTACTTGGATTTTGGTTGAGTGTTCTTCCATTTAGTAATTAAGAGTTTAAGATTTGTTAATATTAAAAGTGTGGTTTATTTAATTATTATATAATTTAGTGTTTTAAAGTTAAATATAAATCAAAACGTTACTTTGCGCCAAAACATGCGACAAAAAAAAACAAAAAAACAAAAAAATGACGTTTTATATAAAACTTTTTATTTGTTTTATTTTATTAGATGTAAATGAGAAAAAGAAAAACCCTATTTTTTTCAAGACTCAAAAAACAAAAAATACAAAAAATGTTTTATTTTTATATAAAAAATATGTATTTATAGCGGGGTGTGGGTGTAAAAGGTAAGTCCCGATTTTTTATTGAACTAAAAAAAATAAAAAAATAATTAAATTAAATACATTTTACTTTTATTTGATAAGTAAAAGTAAATGATTTGTTTCATTATAAGATTTGAACTAAAAAGGCGAAATAAAGTTTTGTTTTCGTTAAACAAAAAGTACCCTTAAAATTTTATGATATAATTTATTACTATAATTTAACTAGTAATTTAATAATGTATTATTTTATCGAAAATGAATTAGGATTCTAATTTAAAAATAACAATAAAACTATTGTTTATGGTTTTATATATATATATGTGCTTTTCAGTTTTTTGTATTACAAGTTGTATTTCCGCGAAAATGGCGTAAATTCAATAACAAATTTGGCACAATTGAACCATTGGTATTGTCAGATAAAAATAACGCTTTTAAAAATTCAAAGAAAAATGTCTCTCGGCAAAAATTGTGAACTAAAACACTATACAATAATAAAAATATAAAAAATTGAAATAAACCCGTTTATTAGCAGTTTTTAGAATATGTTATTCGTTTTTTTATTACACTTTTTAAGTTGCCAACCAAAAAAGAAGAGAATGCTTTCATCAAAAAAAAAGAGTGGCCAATCGAGTCGATTCCCGCTTTTTTCCGCGGGGTCAAAAACACTCGAAATAGAAATCCATAGAAAAAAGATCTTTTTTTATACATTGTTTTTTCGACTAAAATTTGTAGAATCACCAAAACTAGAGTTTCATGCAAGAGAAAAGCGTCCCAACAAATGAAAATGGGGTTTTGTTGGTGTCGTCCGAAGACATCCCACGAACGCTCAAACAGCGCAAGAAGAATTGGAAATGTGTCTTTCCCAACTGTAATGAACCACTTAAGACAAGATTCAATTGTTACGCGCACGTTTGGGACAGTCATTTAAGGGCGTATTACACTCAAAATTTCCCGAATATGTACCCAGTCACTGCTTTTAAGAAAACAGCAGACAAAAATCCAATGAAAGTTTTAGCTGAGAAATATATGATTCAACTCGTTGAAAAACCTCCATCAAAACAAAGAATAGAAACTGATCAGAAGCAAAAAATACAAATCCAAAATACAACACAAAATGAAAACAACGTTCTTAACACTACAAACAACCCTATTGAGACTAATGGAACAACTCAAACATATAATAATATAACAAACCCGTGTGAGACTCAAGTCAATAACACACAAACGCCAATTTCTGTGAAACAAGAAGAACACCACACGTCGAGCCTTAATGAGACAGAACAAAACTTGTCGGATTTGTCGGGAACAACTCCTTTTGTTCCTGATAATCAGAACTACCCATTCGCATTTTTGAATGGATTTAAACAACTGAATTATTCACAGCCAACGTTCATCCAACAATACCCACAACAGTGCACCGTTGCTGTGGAACAACAAAATTGGGACCAACAACAAAACGTCAATGTGCAAACAGCCCAACAACCACAGAACTCCGACGACTTCATTAAAATCGAGCAAATCAGCGAGCAATTAAAGCGCCTTCATGTGTATGGTGAGATCTTTGCAGAGAATGGGTATTTGGTGCGTTCCGATGCGAGAACAAAGACAGACATCACACGAATTGAAGACGCTTTGTCTTCCGTGACTGGTCTTGTTGGGCGGAAATACGCATACAAGACAGACCCAACGAAGGTGAAGTGTGGGTTTGTAGCACAGGAGATGCAAGAGGTGTTACCGGACTTAGTCCAGAAAGATGCGGATGGCAATTTGAGTGTCGATTACCTTGGGGTAGTGCCTTATATCGTCGAAGCGCTGAAGACCATTCATCAAAACACATTAGAACTCCAGTCGAATGCTAAGACGGAGTACAACGACTTGTCAAA